GGGGGGGGGGGGGGGGGGGGGGGGGGGGGGGGGGGGGGGGGGTACATCCACAGCATGATGTTACGTGATAAATGACCACACCTTACTCAGAAAGAAGTCGGCTCTCACCCTTCCCGTAACCAGCCTCAGACTTCCTGGTGCCATGAGAGGATTTTATGTTTGAACTTTAAATTCTGGATTTTGTTGCCTCTTTGAGTTTCATCTTTGTTCTTGGTTACTTGATTATATGTGAACATTCCATGATACTTAAAATGATCATTTTGTGAGTTGTGGCAAAAGAAGAACACTTTCATACGCTGACTGATTAATGACTGAAAGCTAAGCCCATGGACGGCTGGGGGATGCAGTTTTTGTACTCAGAATACCTGTTTTTATTTTCCGGGATGTGTCCAAAGTGTCATTACACATTTCTGTGTCAGAACGTCCATGCCTATCTAAGGTTGGCATTCGTGTTATCTTCTGTCTTTCAGTTTAAAACTCACAAAATTAAAGCTGAGTCTGAGGACAGTTTCTACCCCATTGTCTTCAATGACGTCATGGGTCTGGAGGATGGGGACGACAGAGGAGTTTGTATTGATGACATCAAAACGGCCATGAAGGGACACGTAATGGAAGGTTACAAGGTACAATGATTCTGTTTCTTCAGTTAGTTTAGTTCAGTCTGATTTAGCTGTCTTAGCCACAGTGTTCCTGGTGTTTAGGGGGCAGCTAGACCTGTTTCACTGGTTCCTGGAGTTTGGAGGGAGCGTCAGGATAATGAGCTGAAGCTGAGATCACTTTGAAGTCACATTCCTGCAGATCTGGGAACTGCCAGTTCTTTAGCCAGCTAGAGCTGCTCTGTTTTCACTTTGGGATTCAACTTTTCAGATGCTGCTCAATGAATAATAGGTCAGAGTGATATCTCATGAGTTTTTCTGGGTTTTTCCTGAAAACACCAGCATTTTATCCAGTCATGTGTAATCAGACATGACTGATTCTCCAATCTGTGGTCTTTGTTTTGAACCTGGGGACTTCCGGCTCCACAGGATTCTCTGATCTTAGGAGTTCTGAATGTTCTGAACAGGGTCAGGCAGTTGCCACAGCAAGTGCTTGGTATTTTCTAACAATACCAGGCACTAATACTAATCATCAACACAAGAAATGCAGCTGAAAAATCATTTAAAGAAACAAAATGATCTAATTCAGAAATGGAAGCTTCATGTTTATACCAAGGTCACAAAAAACAAGTAACTAGTAACGCATCAATCATATTGCAAAAGACCTTTAATTCTAACTTTTTAAAACCTTTTTCCAGTTTCATACTCACTCTCCATTGACACATAATGAACCAGGATTCAACGGCAGTCCCACGGTCAATGACCGAAGCCACATCTTGGTTTGTGTCATCTCTGCCAACTCGGCTGAAATCAGAGAATCGATTCTGAAGAAGATGAAAGTCGTCAGAGAAGCAGCCAGAGACTTGGGTAAAAGGACTCGATGGGGATGTGTTTTAGCTATTCTTGTAGTTAGCCCGACTGTAA